TAACTTTCATATTGCTCAGCCTTGAAATTTTTCAGTTGTTTTTTTAAATTATTAGTTAAGTTGTTATAAATGTGCTTATCGCAGTCATAATGTGTATTTTGCCATTTTGCTCTAGCGCGTCTCTTTTCATTAATTAATAATTTTATATGAAGAGGGAGTTCTTTGTTTGAAGTGCTTTTTGGTGACTTTGTATTAGATGATGCGGCATTGGCAGAGTCTTTTATCAATTGGATGAAATTATGGGCAGCTTGGTCAATGTCTGCTAACGTTTTCAGTGAAATAGTAAGATTGATATTATTATCCATACAAATTTTAAATTTTTCCCAGTTAATGGGTCCATTTGTAAGGGATGGCCTGGAAGTGACTGATACTTCACCACCAATGGTGAGTATGACAGGCGAATGATCACCGGAAAGGTCAGTACTATTTTCTACTTTTATGTTTATCTGATTAGACAATTTTGATACAAAAAAGTCCAATATGTCAGGATGTCTATTGGCATGGGTTGGCCAATACGTTGGTCCAGGAGGGGAGATATATGAGTAGTGTTGATTAGTTAAAACTGAGTGAAGAGATTTGCCTCTTTGGTTGTTTGAGACACTACCCCACAAAGAATGTTTTGAGTTGTAATCACCACCAGCAATGAATGAGTGACCTTGGGTATCAAAAAATTGTAGAAAGTCATCCTGACGAATATTATAACAAGGGGGACAGTAGACAGCGGAGATAGTAGTCGGAATACTATTTATATGTATTAACACACAAGTCGCTTGGATACAGTGCTTTTGATATGCAATTTTTTCACTATGATGTATGTCATTTGATATTAATATCGCAGAGCCGCCGCGAGCGGTCCCGTCCGGATGATTGGTTTTGTATAAAGTATAGTTAAAAATGTTAAAGTTAGATTTTTCAGTAAAGTGCGTTTCGCTTATAAGTGCTATGTCAATTTGTTTTTCATTAAGTACAGTTTGAAGTTCGTCTTTGTGTTGAAGTAAGCCGTTAGCATTCCATAAGAGTACTTTGAGATCATGTTTTTGAGTAATGTTATTGTTAGTCATTTTTTAGTAGAATTTTATTAATAACAGTTGTTAGTAGTGTTATTAGAGGATTAATTACAGATTTAAGGTCTGTTAGGAATAAAGAAAACTGTTTAGTAAGGTCATTAGAGTCTGTATTGGTCGTCATGTGATTTTGGGTATTATTTTCCGAGTTGTGGTGTTGAGTTACGTATGCGTAGGAACTATGTTTTTTAGTGTTTGGTGACTGGGTGTTACCAATGGGGACTTGTACATTATTATTTACATTATTTACATTATTTACAGTATTGACATTATTTAAATTATTTTCATTAAGCTTAATAAAATTATGATTTAAATGGATATCCTTTCTTTGTTTTAAATTAACGATTCTTCGCTGCTGTTCATTTTTATAAGCAGGACAACCGCGATAATTCGCTGGGTGGGCTCCTCCACACAAGGTGCATTTGGGTGGCTGATCTACAGGTTTTAGACACGCTTCGGTCAAGTGTGAGCCGTCGCATTTGACGCAACGGGGCTCGTGGTTACAGTACCTTTTTGAATGACCAAAATTTTGACACCGAAGGCACTGAATCGGGTTATTATTTGGTTTGGGAACTTCAAATTTGACTTTGGAATAGCATATAGAGTTGACTTTAAAAATGTCGTTGTTGTTAGGTTGTGGTACGAGATCTATAAAAAACATAGGAAGGGGGGTTTTTGATTGATTTTTGAGGACGTTTACCACTTGTTTGACATTGAATCCAAGTTGTTTTAATTCATCTTCGATAAATTTTGGATCTGTGGAATGATGTAAGTTTTTGAGCACAACGCGAAATGGTTTTTCTTGTTTGGTTTGAAACGTGTGGAAATCGACGTTTTTTTGCACAAGTAATTGAACAATTTTCCTATAAGATTCAGGAGTATTAAGATGAAGACGAAGACCAGAGATACTACTCTTACATGAAAATTCGTCCGAACCGATATTATTTTTAATGAGTTCACAAAATTTTAAGTAATTTAACTCTGATTTAATGAATATGGGAGGTGGTTTATGAATAATTGGTTCAGTTGCGCGTTCCGTTTCGATTTCATCGTTATTGATTTGTAGTGGACTATATCGATTTGATAGTCTCCTATTGTTGTTATTACATGGGCCATGTTTAGATATCGGAGAGGAACCAGGTGATTGTGTGTGAGGTCTTTTGTTCGACGATAGAACTGTAATCCACACGTCGTCAGAATCGTCAACGTTATCTGATTTATGTGTTTCGTTTTTGTTAACTACTTGGCTACGGTTGATAATAGTAATAGGCGTTATCGGAGTATTGGTTTGAGATGACGGTGGTGTCTTACTGCGGTTAGACATTTTTCAGCAATTAAGTTTATGATAATTTCTTACCTTGATCCCGTAGGATCACACGATGTTGTGAGTTTGATGCAGTAACGCGATCTCTGTAATTCGGGCTATCGAACGGTGTAAGTTTGGAAAAAGAACACAAATTGTGACGTATAAAAATATATATTAATAGCGGGAGCGTGACACGAGACATGAGAACTCAATGGCAGCTGAAGGCTATCTGAAGTATAATACTTACAAAAAAAAAATTTATATAGCAATTAAATTAGTATGAGAATGATATTTAATTTAGTATTTTAAGTTTTTCGGAAAATGTATAAAAAATTATAAAGTATTTATAATATTTATGGCAATCGTGTGTAAAAATTGAAGGGCTTGACACAAAACTTTTTTGATAAGAATTTGTTGTTAATTATGAATAAATGGTCTCCAAAAAATTTTTATCGGAGTCAAAAATATACTTTTATTATTCAATTTTACGTGCCATTTTCAAATCAGCAATTATATTTTATCTATCACCAATCATTTTTGATATTATTACTAATTAGTTAAAAAATATAGGATATAACAATAAAGAAAATAGTTCTGTATATTTCAATTGTATCATCTATTTAAACATCAAGAGTTACATAGAATGATAAATATATTTGAAATGATTTATTATGATAAAAAGTTGAATTTAAATAAGATAAAAATCAAATGAGTTAAACATTTTTATCTAACTCAAAAACTTGTATAAGGTATTTTAAAATAAAATAAAAAACAAAATCAAGATTTTTAACACCAAAATAGCATATTTTTGAATACGGTAAACATTTCTACAAAGAAGAAAATCTATACTTCGATTTTTTTTTACATAGTAAAGTATATTATATAAGCTTTAATTTAAGATATATAGAATGTCCAGTATTTCCGAAACACTTTCAAAAGTTAATTTATTATGAAAAAATTGTCATTTTGAATTCCACCCTGTGGCTAGATGAAGGGTCAGATAAAAAATATATATATCAAATGATAGGTAAAGACTTAATAAATCTATTTTAAAAAAAAATGTTTCTTTTCGTTAATTTTTCAATAATTTATGGAAGTTTTAAGTAAAAAAATTGAAAAAATAGCGATTTTTAAACTTGTAATTTTTTTGGAGATTTCCCCTATTTATGGGGAGCGAGGGATAAATTTTCAATTTTAAAGGTAATGCCTTCAACTAACTACCAGGTGTATAACTTAATAATGGGGATATTTTTCAACAGATGGCGTTACACTCATATAATAGAGCACGTGGCTTGATATGTGAGCAATTTTTTTTATCGACATAACCCTTTAAAGTAGTGAAAGTCGTACTTTTTGAAAGCGCTTATATCATTTTTTTTTACGTGTTAAAATGTCGGAATTTGTTCCAAAAAAAGAGCATTTGCGGGAGGTTTTGTTACATTACTTTCTCTTAAAAAAAAGTGCTGCTGAAAGTTACCGTATACTTCAAGGAGTTTACGGAGAGCATTGTTTATCCCAGAATACTTGTGNTAAAGTATATTATATAAGCTTTAATTTAAGATATATAGAATGTCAATATTTCCGAAACACTTTCAAAAGTTAATTTATTGTGAAAAAATTGTCATTTTGAATTCCACCCTGTAGCTAGATGAAGGGTCAGATAAAAAATATATATATCAAATGATAGGTAAAGACTTAATAAATCTATTAAAAAAAAAAATTTTTTCTTTTCATTAATTTTTCAATAATTTATGGAAGTTTTAAGTAAAAAAATTGAAAAAATTAGCAATTTTTAAACTTGTAATTTTTTCGGAGATTTCTCCTATTTATGGGGAGCGAGGGAAAAATTTTCAATTTTATAGGTAATGCCTTCAACTAACTACGATTTATGATCTTTTGACGTATCGTTGAAAAAAATTGGTTCAGTAAGAGCTGAGAAAAAGTGGTAACAGACACAAAAGAAAAATTAAAAAATTAAAAACACTTCATAATAAAATTAATACCTTCTTAGCTTCCCATCGAAGCTAAAACATTTCTTACACTCGTACATTTTTGTTAGAATAAATAAAACATTTTCTAATAAATTTATAATTTACCTAAAAATTTCAATAGTATTTGATACAAAAATAGTATTAAATACTAATAAAAAATATTTAAAATACTGTTGAAAACAAATATTATTAAATATTTAAAAAATAATTAAATAACCAAATAATCAAATACTTCACAGCTGTAGTTGTACATTACTAAAACCTTTGATAATATATAAGTAAGAATTAAAATTAATTTAACATTTATTTAGAAATTTAATAATAACTAAAATTCTTCCTAAACTAAACGGAAGAACTGATTATGTTAGCGCCAATTCAAGGAATATTAGCAAAATGTTTAATACTATTTCATTTTACTAAGTTATAGACTAGTGTACAAANTTTCATTTTACTAAGTTATAGACTAGTGTACAAAAGGAATATTTTTTTAAATAATAACAAGTTGCTATTAATAATCTTTAAACTTTTAGTAGATGTATGTTGGTTCGTTAACAATTTTCCAAGATCGTGGAAAATTGTTGTAATTTGTGATTTATTATGAAGTTGATATACCAAACTGAGACGAGGTTTGTCGAATCTGGCAACACTGAGTCGGCTAATTCAGCTTGCTATCAGCAGTCGAGTCTTCTAGTCGTTGAACTTTTTCATCAGCTATACATCTTTAAAATGATGCATCCAAATAAAAGTCAAAATACATCTGAGCAGGTGAATGCAAGCAACTACTATTGTAGTAAAAAAATTAATTTTAAGCATTTTTTTTTTGTATAAGGTGACTAGTGTTTTAAATGAAGCGGTTGTGGTTATTGATGAAAATAAAAAACTTGAACTTTTAAACAAAGCAAAAGAAATAATAGTTTACCAAGAACCAAAATTATTACCACAATTTATTGATGATGTCATTGCATTTCAAAATGATCATAGTTCATTAGTCCGAAAATTTGTTGTGGGATTCATTGAAGAGTGCTGGTATTTTTTTAATTTTGGCATACATAGTATTATTATTTCATGTATTATACAATTTTAACTAAAATAATATTATGTTTAGTAAAAAAGAAAAATCTAATGTATGTGTTACATTACCAAACTTACTTATACTTCTGGAGGATCGCTCTCATATTGTCCAAAAAAGAGTAATTCAAGCAGCTAGTGTTGTGTATAGAGCTGGCTTACAATGGATATCTCTAACTGATTTACCAAGTTCTGATTTGTCTAATGTTTGGCAAGATCTCTCTAATTTAAAGTCTCATTCTATTAATATGGTCGATAATGATAATGAAGGGTAAACTATGGTGAAATTATAAATATAACATTATTAATGATAAATACATTCATTATAAATTATATACACATACTTTGTGAGTAAAATAATTCTGTTGTATCAAAGTATTATTATTAATATACTTTTTAAACTTACAAAAAAAGATTACAATGTTAGATAATTTAAAATTTCTTGGATCTGGATGTAAATTAGTCTTATTTTATCAGATTTAGATAGATTTTTACTAGCATCTTTGAAGTTATTAGTATTAATAAGTAGTCTGTTTATAATGGAGAGTACTTTGATTTTTATTAACTTCAACTTTATTTTTATGCATATTTTATTTAGTATTCGTACTCAAGTAATCAAATTTATGGAAACAGTAATACTAGTTCAAACATATAAAGGTGAAGGTGGTGTTGACTGTGAAGACGACATGTCGTTAGAAGACATACCTTTAACTTTAAAAATTACAAGGCGACGAAGACTTGAAGATGAAGCAAAGTACTTATATTTTTAAATAATATATTTTTCTTATCAAGGAGTTCATTAATTTATTTTTCAGGGTAGTATTTGATTTATTGTCTCGATTTGTCCATTCTGGTAATGTTGGTTGCGCTAATTTAATTACTTGTATGAGATCACTGATACTGATAGCTAAATTCCGTGTTTCATTTATTGAAAAAGTTTTAGTTGCACTAGAGAATTTAACCAGTAAGCAATATAATAATTTATTTATTTTAATCGTTATAACAAAAGATTTGTTAACTGAATTTTATAATATTAAAATTTTGTTGTCCATAAATTGATTAGATGATATTATACTTCTTATATAAACTTAAATGTTAATGTTCAATAGTTGTGCTCCTAAGATATTGTATCATTTTAGCTTTTAAATCATAAATTATTGTTATAAAAAATGGACGACATATATAAGATTATCAGTCATATTTTGTATCATTGCAACTATATTATTAGATTTTGTTTGTAAAGTTTATCATAAACATAATTTCCTTGATATATTTTACTATAAAATCTATTTTAATAAGTTTCTATCTAATTTTTTAGTAATTATTTAATGAAATAACTCTTTTTAATTGTGCAAAATTAGTTTCATCTAATACAAAAATATAAAATTGATGTATTAAATCATTCTTTGTATACATTTTTCCTTTTTTGTGACTCATTAAGGGCCATTTTATCATATTATTAAGAGGAGGGTTGGGTTGGGTTGGGTTTCTTTATATATTTCATTATGGGTAATTAGTTTATCAATAAAAAGATAAATTGTACCTCTATTACTAAGCTGATCTTTCACTTAGTAACCATAACCAACCTTGACTTAGTAATTACAGTTTTATAGTTTCATTTTTAATAGTACTACACCAGTAAATTATCAAAACTGTATAAGTCTACCAATATTCAAAAATATAAATACTAAGATTTATATTTATAAACATTTATTATAGAAAAAGATAATCAAAACTAGCTAATAATACATAATTGTTTTATCACTACATTATTTTTATATTTTAGAAAACATGCCTAGCTCATTGACAACCAGTCAAATAAATTGTGTGAATAAGAATCTTAAACTCCAACTTTTGAGTTTTCTTCGTCTGCCAGCTTCAACTGATCATCACCAAACAATTGGAAAAATTTTACTGGATATAGGCTCGACTAATCAAGAAGTAATAGTTATTTATCGTTATTTTGTATTTTATTCAGATTATTAAAAAAACTATTATAGTTTGTTAACTTTGTTACTTGAGAAACATAATAAGTCACATTTATTGAATTTTTGCAAAATAAATAAATAATTTACTATTTCTTAATACACAGTTTCAAAATATATGTCTCATTTACAATAATTTAACCAATAATTATTCGCTAAAAAATAACTAATTTAAGAAAATTTCACTAAGTGTCAGTTGTAAATTAGGGCATTATGACAATCTCCTTAAACAGGTGTTATAATTAATTTTTTATGATTCCCTATCCATTAACTTTAAAAGTTTTTTAAATGTTCTTTAAAAAAAAATATTTTTATCAAATAGTTTAATCTGGGTAAGATTATAATTTTAATATTTATATAACTATTAATCAAAATTTTACTTTTTGTCACTAACTAAAAAAATTATTATTATCAACATACTTCAATCAAATTTAGGGGGAACATTTTTTGGGGAAAAAACATGAGTGTACACTCCTACAGGGTGTTATTAAATTCTTATATATTTGTATTGTTTCTCAAAAAATTAAAACATAAAAATATTTATTATTAAACTATTTCTTGAACTAGCTTTAAAATCATATTTATTCTTTTAAAATACTGATTCCCTGGACGAAGTTTTTTTTTATATTTATGTCTTCATAAAGTTGAACAAATGTATTTATATCTTTATTTAACATTAAAAACTAACATATAAATATATGTTTATTTTTTTATACTATAAGTAATATATTTACAAACAATTTTTTTTTATAAAAAAATAGTGACTCTTGTTGTTTCTCCAATGACTAATTTAATTAGTATATTGAATATTTAAATGCAGTGTCAGTTGTATATTAATACTAGATTTAATTGTACAATAAAATGAAGTTGGTTGATTTGTTTTTTTATACAACTAGTATAAAAGACACTAAATTTACTTTATTACCGATAATTTGATTAGTACATATTGTTTTTTATAGATATTAAAGGCTTTTCAAGTAGTATCAAAGAATGATGACAGTAAACGTTTACTTCGTTCACTAAAAAGAAAAAATGATGAAAAGGATAGCTATAATTTTGATAAGGATGATATTCCAGAAAAAAAAAGATGCATTGAGAGTATAGCATTTGATCCAGAATTAGTTAAAATGTGGCTTCTTGAAAGGTTTTCAGTTGACACCGTTTCAAAACTAGTAATGAATTTCATGGTTAGTTAAAAATATTTTGAAAAATTATCCATGGTAAAATTGTATCTAGAATTATTCAAATATGTTTTTATTAACTGGTAAACAGTGGGTATGATCCAAAGTTAGAAAAATTTATTAATTAAGAATATAGTATATATAGAACTTAAAAATTACTTTATTAATTTTTTAAGTCTGGACTTGGGAAAATATGGACAGTTATTTAATCATATATATAAAAGCAAGTTAAAATATAATCTGAATTTTTTTTTTGGTTTTTGTAATTAATACTATTCACAAAAATATAAATAGTAGTTAAAAATTTTATCACAATTAAAAATCTTATTTAAAAATATTTAATATTTTAACTTTACAGACATTTCGGATTTATATTTTTATAAATCATTTTTTGGAACTCATATTATGGTACATGTAATATTTACTTCAGCTCATTTCATAGGTTTTTGTTTATTGTGGGCATATACTAAGTTGTATATTATTGATATTAATATTTCTTAATTATTTTTTATTTATTTACTTATTTATTAATTTTTCTTAATTAATATATTTAAAAACAATCAAATATATAATATAGGCATTAATAAAATAGAAAAAAAATTTTACATTTTTTATTAAATATACATTTTTGAGAAATTTTTAAAAAAGAGTTAAAATCTTTCTAGTTTTTAATCTCTATACTTACGTATTGAAATTGTAATTACTTTCCATGTAATTTTATATATTCCAAAAGTTATTACATTAGAAAAATTTTATGTTAAAATCATTAACAGATTACATTTTTTTTAATACAATACTCTAATAATGTTAAATTCTGTGTGTATTCAAAACAATATTCATGTTATAGAGAAAATTTTAAATATTCTAAACATATTATATGTAATATAACTAAAAATTACTTTTGGTTGTAACTATTTTAACATTAACTTTACTATCTTTTCTAAAAATCTTAGTTAGAATTAAATGTGTTGTTTATTATTTCAAGAAATAAAATGTGTTGTATCAATTTGTCAAGATGTATTATTAATTAAAGCATTGTTCTTTAATATTTAGCCAAAATTACCATCAAAAATGCCTTTATATTTCCAATCAAATTATACACCAATAACGGCTGCTGGTACAGATAGTCAAATTAAGAATTTAGCAGATCTTTTATCTAATCAGATTTGTACTTCAAATATTTCTTTACCCGAATTAAATGAATGCAAATCTGAAAAAATTGAAACAATAGAAATGATTAAAGAGGAACTTTTAAAGAAAAATGATGATGAAGACAATTTGTTTTTATCAATGCCTGCTGAATTAAATGTAAAATGTTGTCGAATTGACCCATCTGAAGCAGAAGAATTATCACATGACGCATTATTAAGAATATTGGATACTGGCAAACTTATTATGTCAAAACCATTTAAAGATATACATAATAAAGTTATTACTCGTATGGCTGTCATGTGTAATGATAAATTTCTAAATAGTAAGTTATACAAGTTCTTCCTAAAAATTGAAAATTTAATTAACTTTTTATTATAACTTTTTTGCAGCTATACTAGATTACATAGAATTAAATATGACATATAATTTAGATTTATGTTTGTCTTGGTTATATGAGGAATATAGTATGAATCAAGGATTTACTAAGCTGCCGACAGCTTTCAGAAATTCCCTCTCATCAGAACAAAACTATAATACAATTTTATGTTCATTAATAAGAGCAGCCTTGAATATTGATGACCTCAAAGATAAAGAATTGTAAATAGTCAAGTTTCTATGATTGGTTAAGAAATAAATATTATTCTTTTTTATTAATAAATTCAAAAAATTACTAATTTATGAAATACTGATATAAAAGACATAGTATATTTAATTATAAAAGTAAATAAAACTACTTGGTTAAAGATTTATCTATGAAATAAATTATTTTTAGGTGTAATACAAAAAATATATATTTTTATTGAAGAAGTATTATAGTATTATATAAACATAAATGTCTAGCTCAATTCTAAAAACAAATCTCAAAAACTAATTTTTTAATTTTACTTTAAATAAATTCTATAGAGAAACTATTTTGCCACATGATTTAAGCTGAAAGTAGGAGTAGAAAGAATGTTGTTTTAAAGGAAGCTTAGAATATGTTGCCTTCTTGTATATTTTTTCTATTTGAAAACAAAATTATTTTTAATTGGTTGTTTTTAAACTTGGGTTACATTTAAGAACTATTACAAATATTGAATATAATACATTTTTTTAGTGTCATGACCGCTCTCTACTTAGAAAGCCCATTTATAACTGATGATGCTGTTGATATTTTAAAGGATATTTGCTGTAAACATACTTTTGGCCTTTACATACTTAATGAACTTGTTACTAAAAGACCACCTAGACAATTAGTTTACTTAAATGCTCTTCTCTTTTACACATCTCATAATGAAACTGAAGTAAGTTTAATATTTGTATTGATTTATTTCTTATTTTTTATTAGTGAAATTTGTGTCATGGAACACTTTGTTTAATTTTAATATTTTATATTCAATAACAGAAAATTTTATATTATTACACAATAATCACTTATAATAATATTGATGAGCGGTTCCTTTTTACAAATAAAATAAAATAAATTGATTCCTGATCCTNTTTTACAAATAAAATAAAATAAATTGATTCCTGATCCTACAAAAAATATTTAAATTTGATAGTAAAATATTATTTTTGGTAAAAAATTGTCTTATGCTGGAATAAATAAAATTTTTATTTTAATCCCATTTAATGAATGGTTCTTGAATATTTATTTTTCTACATATAAATTTAAAAACTATGAACTATTTAAGCTTATTTAGTTCTTAATATGCAGTTAGCAAAACTTTTTCAATGATCTTATCTGATTTTATATTTAGTTACGTGAGATGGCATTAAATTATACAAGTAAACTGTATACGAACAATGAATTAAAAAATATCATTGAAGAATATGCTACCTTTTATTTGGGTTTTTTGAGATTACCACTTCCACCAGATGTACTCTTTGGCCAAGAAAGTGGACGGCTAATTAAATCAGAAGTTTGGGATGATGATTCAACAACTGCTTGCTTATATTTATATTTCATGCTAATGGCTAATAATTATGAGTTGATTCATGAGTAATTCATTTTTTTTTTAATAATGTTCGTTAATCAGACTTTTTTTAAAAAAATTGTATTAAATATTAGGTTAGCATCAGTATTTGTTCACGCAAAAAGTGAAGTGAAACGTGTTATTATCAAACTGTTACCTCAACCTATTCAAAAAATGCCAATGAATTCACCGGAAATGTTAAGATTGCTTGAAGATATTCCAAAAGGAGCTGAAACTATGGTAACCCGAGTATTACATATTGTTACAGAAAAAGGTAAAATTTTATTGAAACATTTATATGTGTTTACTGAATATATAAAATCAAGCAGGAAAGCAATATAAATAATGTTACAATTAAAATATTTAAAATAAAAACCAAAAATATATGATAATAATAAACATAAAATATTGTTGAATATAATACTATTTTTAACTTAATTGAAACTTAAAACAATTCTTATTAAATCATTTTATATTTAAAAAAATTGTCACTATCTCTTTATTTAAATTACGTATATTAATGAATTATATTTTGAACCTCTCATAAAGTAAAACATAAAAAATTATGTTTTAGTATTAAAAACATTTAAACATAAAAATTATGTAAAATTGAAGTAAATTATTAGATAATAATATAATATATGTAAAAATTTTTTAAAAACTTTATTTATAATAACCTCCAATACAAAGTTAGGTTGTAAAACACGTGTTTTTTAAATAAGTATAAAAAATCAACATATATTTTGTTGATAAAAATTTATTTTGTCTAAAAATTATTAAAAAAAAAAATTAAAAAACATTTTTTATTTAATAAGGAAAACCAACCCTCTTCTTAATGTTTTTTAAAAACTAAACCTACAAATTGTCTAAGAAATGTTACAATTATGAATCTCTAGAAGAATTGTATCACTTATTATTCTTTGTTTAATATTGCTTGCTATCTATGGTATAATTTTCATACTTAGTTTTTAATAAAACCTTTTCCTACCCCATTTTTAATAAAATCACTAGCTGTTAAATAAAATAAATAAGTGTTATAGAATCAAGCTTATACTAGTTTATTATCATGTTATATGTAATATTACAGTAAGCTTCCTCGACGGATCCCCACAATTTAACTAGTAATAATCAAAAATAAATAAATCTGTGTTTTTTTTCTTTTCTTTTTGTAGTAAAAATGAGAGTTCTTAAAAATTATTTCTCATTATAAAATGCTTGCCAAGTTGAGTCGAGCTGTAGACTTTCTTGATTTCAAAAAAAATGAATTTTTAAATATAAGTAAATTTTACTTTTTTTTTATAATTCAATCATTTTTGATAGAAACTATGATCCACACCAAATGAATGATAAAAGCATCAACCGATTATATAAATTATCAGAAAAAAAAATTTTGAAAATGAATCACAAAATTTGAGATTTAATGCAGTCTTATTTAGTACAATTATAATTTTAATTAAATTTTTGTATAAATACTTTTGTCACAAAAACTTTTTTTATCTCAATTTTAAAATAATTTTAAGATTATAATTAATTAAACTAGTAATATTTCATTTTATGTGATTTTATAATTAATTATTTAAAAAGTAAAAAATAGTTTTTTAGGGATCAGATAATTTTTTTATGTTTATCTCATAATTGAATAATAATGATTCGTAAAGCTCAATGTAATTATTAAAGTTTTTTTTTCTTTATTAATATATACACAATCTGTTCCCTATAGGTTTATTATTAAAGTTTCTCTCAAATTTGTTTCAATGTTTCAAATTTTTAATTCTTTGTAATTTTATGTAACTTATATTTCTTAATTACTTTAATTATACTATATATTTAAATGTATAATTAAATATATAGTATATATAGATATATATTGTATATTTACAATTTTATTTAATTTTTAGAAATTCCATCGATTGAATTAGTTTCAATGGTGAAAAAGTTATTTGATAATCAGTTAGTGGAAGTGAGATTTTTAGTTCCTGTTATGTCTGGCTTGGATAAAAAATATATTTTAAATGTTTTACCACAATTAGTGAAGCTTAATCCTAATGTAGTAAAAGAGGTATGTGTTGAATAATTAATATTAATATTTCATACTGGCAGTGCAAGACGGTAATGTCTTATAAAAAAGCAATTTGAAATAAACGACTTTAAAGTTGTAAAATTTAATATGAACTAAATTCTTAACTTAATATTTTTAAATGATTTTTATTGAGTTCAAATAGAATTTTACATAAGTAGCTTGTATGTTTACATAGAGAATAATATAATTAATGAATTATACCAATATCTCAAGCATCATTAATTTTAATATATAACCCTCTTGAACTCTCAGTTTGTTATAAATATTATAAATAAATAATATGCCATTTTTCATACTTTAGGTATTTAATAGAATATTAGGAATAAACTCTACAATAGCTAATGCTAATCCTTCACTAAGTCCTGCAGAATTATTAATTGCTTTACACACTATGGAAACAGATCCTAATGATCTTAAATTCATTATTAAAGGTGATTAGAATTAATAGTTTTTTCTAAAATTGATTAACCCACCCACAAATTGTCTTCTATACTATTATAATAATTAAATTAATTTACAGCAACATCTCTGTGTTTTGCTGAAAAATCAGTATTTACTCAAGAGGTTTTGGCAATTGTCATGCAAAATCTTATGGATATAAACCCATTACCTACATTATTAATGCGAACAGTTATACAGTCACTTACGACATATCCACGCTTAATTGGTTTTATAATGAATATACTACAAAGACTTATAATCAAAAAAGTATGGCGACAAAAAACACAATGGGAAGGATTTATTAAATGTTGTCAAAAAACAAAACCAAATAGTTTCCAAGTTTTACTACAACTACCACCTGAACAACTAGAAGATGTTTTAAACCAGTGTCATGAAATGAGAAGACCATTATTAGATCATGTTCTTAGTTTTACTGAAGTTCAAGTAAGAATATTAGACATAATATAATTATGCATATTAATTAAAATATTTATATATTGGTAGATAATTATTTCTGAAATATGCATATACCTTTTTCAGCGTTCTCATATTCGTCAAGCAATTATGGATGTTATATTTGGTAAAGAGTTAGAAGTACCCCTTTATAGAGAATTAAAAGTTAAACCTGAACCAACTGAAAATATTATAAGCACAACTCAAGCTACTAGTATAATTGATACAGTGGTAAACTACTTAAGCTCCTTGTAATATAAAATAGTACAATGATATTTATTGAAATGATCTTACTTATCCGTATTTATTTTAATTTATGGTCAAATATTCTTATATTTAAAATAAAATGTTATTTAAAATAACATTTTATTATCAATGTTTAGTTAGCTATACTTTGTTAAAATAATAAAAAATATTATGCAACAACAAAAAAATACTTCATGATACTTCAATTATTCATCCAGTTTCTGTTACTTAACGTAAAACAGAAACTTTAAATATTGAAGCCACTGTCTAACAATATCACAACTACGAATTACATCTAACTTATCTTTGTGTATAATATATAAATTTTAAGCTTAATGTATTTTTTATCAATAATACAAAATTAATAATAATTTAATTAATTAGTTAAAGGATCAAAGTCACAAAAATTAAATCCAGAGATAATCATAAAAAATGCTCTATTTTCTTATCAGTTATTTTAAGAAAATAATTAATAGTATTATATTTTTAAAAATCCACTATAACCTTTAATTTACTCAAAAGAGTGGTTATTTAAATTATTAATTTTACATTTATCTTATTATTATTATTATTATTATTATTTTTTTTTTGTCAAAATGTCACTTTGATTCCCCTGTTCAAAACAGAACATGTTATCTCCTCATCAGTTGGTATTGATAATGTGTACCGGTTGATCACGGAGGTAGTGGTGGTAATATTTGACCGTGAAAGTATATACTGTGGCCTTTGACAACACGGGGCCAAACATTTTTCACGGTCAAGCAGTCTGTCGGCTGATTAGCTATGGTTGACATATGTTAATGTGTCTCTGCGCTATATGGTGTTATAATACCGTTTACGTAATCGACGTACGCGTGTTTTTTTCCCCTTTGTTACAATATTGTTGTTATCCGGCCTATTGAATAGAGCCGTGAAAGACTTAGTTAAAAGTTGTAGTCTTATTAAATTTGGNAAGACTTAGTTAAAGTTGTAGTCTTATTAAATTTGGAGTTATTAGTGAAAGCTTGAACACCGGTTTATTCCGTGATTGTTATTGTCAAAGTTGAAGCTACCACAGGGAAGACATTCAAATCAGTAGATTGAACGAGTTGAGCCCTATGATATTACTGTATGTAAATTTATTTATAGTTTAATTTATTAATTGTAACTACATTTGTACTTGGGGACGCCCATTATATTTATTTAGTANATTTGTACTTGGGGAAGCCCATTATATTTATTTAGTATATTATAAACAGAACAAGATACCATATTTTTCTATAATATATACAAATAATAATTGTACGAATATCAATCTCTTTTATTTTATATTTGGGTATACATTTGTTTAATTCATTTGTTTCTTCTGTGTTGATTATTACCAGTCATACGGGTCAACTGTTATCGTAAGAGCCCGTTGGCTAACACCCCTCATTTATTTTTGATTATTGAACTATTGAACTTTTTCTGATTTCAGTATATTTATATGTATAATTATTTATTTCAGAATACACAACTAAAATCACCAGATGTGATATCTAATCTTAGAGAAGATGAACTTAGGCCTCCTGGTGAAGGTGATGATGACTCAATGCAAGAAAATAATGACACTTATTATTCTGTACATTAAAATTCCAATTAATACAATTTTTAACTTTCAAAAAACTGTAATTTTGTTTAAAAAAATATATGTGTATTATTATATATAACTTTTTCATTATTAATTTAAGTGAAATGATTTTTTTACTGTTTCAAACAATATTTTGAAATAAAAACATATTTCTTTTGGAAATTGAAGTACCCTATTAACTTAATATTTAATTTCTCAGCTTTCTATCAAAGGTAAAATATTTATTTTGATCCCACTTTTACATACTGAAAATCTATCATTATAATTTTTTAAATGATAACATATATTTCATTTTCTTACAAAGTTATAGCATTATAATGTTAAAAACCCAGCACAGGGGGGTCGCGGCACAGTGGTGACGTAAAAAAAAAAATTATATTGATATGTTCATTTTTGAAAAATTTCCGGCAGTTTATAGTAAAAAAAATTGAAAAAATTTCGAAAATTAGCGATTTTTAAATTTGTAAGTTTTTTGGAGGTTTCCCCCATTTACGGGGAACGAGGGAAATTTTTTCAATTTTTGAGGGTAATGTCTTCGACTAGATACAATTTGTGATCTTTTGACGTATCGTCAAAGAAATCCATTCTTTTAGAACTGAGAAAAAGGGTAACAGACAAAAAAAATAAATAAACACATCTTAGTAAAACCAATACCTTCTCAGCTAAAATGTAAAAAATAAAATCGAGAATTATCATACAAAAATAGCATTCGGTAGCCATTTTCACCACGAAGACAGGTCCAGAGGTCAAATTTTTTTTTCATAATAAAGTATATTACGATTTGACGTATTATTGAAAGAAATCGATTCGGTGAGAGTTGAGAAAAAATGGTAACAGGCACAAAAAGAAAAAGACATCAGAGTAAAACTAATACCTTCTAGCTTCCCATCGAAACCAAAATATTGACAACTTTTCTCTCATTTAGACATTTGTAATCGTTCAATATTTTTTGTATATATTTACCATTAATATATTTTGTGTTAAGTGAAGGACACAGTTCTTAATTTTGCTTGATATACGTATTATATCTGTAACTGACAGTTTTCATAAGATTTATGATATAAGAATCTAAAATAGTAAAAAGACGTTTGAAATATTGAACCTAAAGAAATTTTCGTTTAACATTTGATACCTGGGTACTAAAATATACAATATTTATTATCAACATTTATTAACATAAAAAAATAGTTAAAACTTTTTTTTAAGTATAATACACATTAGTATATTGAGTATAATAAATAAACAATTCTACGAACTAGATAAAACGTTGTGAAATACATCAAGTATTCGATAATGTCTAAAAGCCAAAATAACTTTAACGGATGTGTAGACATAGCGTCACTGGATGATTGAACAATTCTGTGAATAAATAAAAAAAGTTTTCGAATAAAAAAAACTGTTATTAAAATACCTGTTTAAAACATAAGTAAACAGTTAAAAACGTATAAATTGTCCTATAAAACCAATGTAAACTTTTTCTATTTTAAACACATACATCCTTGAAAAAAGTAGTAAACGACACTACTATAAGTACAGAAATAAAAAATAACAATTATTATTGATTTTCATCGTTCCTTTATAATATCCTATATAATTATGTAAATTAAAATATATACATAATGATCCGTTTATTATAACTCATGCAGTTGCTTACAGAATATAAAATAATTCAAACAAAAATTATGAAACAATTTTAATTTTTAATATAGCCAGTTTTTAACGTCTTTCTTATAAAAGTTTTTAACGGATCCATAATCATTTTATGACCATTGTATATTGAGTTACAAGTATTTTATTACATTTAATGCGTATGCAGCATGGGTGGGTACAGCTTGTATTGGTTTACAACTGCGTTACAATCCTTAAAACTTAAACAAAAAATTTAAAAAAAAAGATTTTTTGTTTAATTTTAGCAAATGTGCATGCATCTTAAACATCATCAAGTATAGTATTATACTTACATTTGTAAAATTAAAGGCATTGTTAGTTGGATTATGACATCTTGAAAATTTCTGAAATATACGTAAGACTATTTCAATATAATATTTGTATTTTATGACAATAATAAAGTTTTTAATCAATTTCCAATTAACTTAAAAAAAATTAATGGAAAAGTAACTACAGTTACTTTTTAATAACTATGTCTAGATATATTTGATAACTGTATAATCATTAATTTTTTTCTTTATTAAAACGTTCTTAATTTACTTTATTATAAAATTGGATAATTTGTTCTCATAAAATATTTTTTGTATTTTTTATGGTAAAATATTAAATTATGACACATACTTTAAGGATATTATAGCATAATATATTAATATATGATAAACTGGTCTACATAGACATTTTTCATAAAATTAATAATTACTTCGAAATAACTGTTAACTGGAAGCTCATACATAGTTAATAGCATGAATAAACCTGACACAATCATTACCACTTCATACTTATACTTGATTTCATCCATAATGCTTAAAAAATATCTAACGTGCACTTAACTGAAAAAAATTATTTCAATTAAACATTTGCCTAGGATAAATTCATTAGAATCTTAGATATACACGTCATATAAACATTGATATTAAGTCTAAACAAATTTTGACTCAAAAAAATAAACCTAGCTACCAACAAATGACAAGTGTGGCACCAAAACACCTGTTGCGCTATTATTTTGCGATCGTCATTGCTTCAGTTATATATTCTCAAACATTTTCGATAGTTAAAAATATAATTTCATTGAATTGAAAACACCTAAGAAAATAACACATTTTATAAATGTTTTGGATATTTTATCAAAATAAAATTTAAAGTATTTGTTACAAATTGTGTCACACAATATTAAAAACAACAACAAATATTCTTATTGTTAATTCTTATTTTTTGTGATAAGTAATACGCAATGCATAATATTAATATACAAGCCTAAATCAATGACATTTAATGTGAGATACAGTTTATTCAAATGTAATAAGAACCGTAAATAGGAAAAACTAAATTTGGTTTAAAACCTCCTTTAACTTGAATAGAACCATAAAAAAAGTTCTTGAATTGGTACCTTTTTAATATTTATAGCCCGAACCAGGTTATGAATTTTGATTTTTCAGAAAAACAAGAACCGGAATTTTTTAAAATAAAGATGTTAACAAATATTGAATTTCATTCGTAAAATATTAATATTTGTTTACATTATATCAACAATATGTAGTTTAGTAACTCAAAATTAATTAATATATGTTAATTAAAATTATATATTTTTTAACTAGATTATTATTTTTTTTTTTAAATATTATCAATCTTAATCATTTCTAAGTCAATGAGTGATGTACCCAAATTTAATCAACTAGAAAGCAAGTAGTTAATCATTTCTAACGTACTTTGCATAGATTAAACATTAAACATAGATTAAACAAATTTTAGAGGTATGACCTAAAATATTTTAACTCTATAGCTAAGGACCACCCTACTCTATATATTATTTAATGTAATAATTTGATTCTGAATCCCCCTCAAATCGACTACTAATTAGAGGAAAATATTCAAAAAAACACAATCGCTGAAATAGGCTGAATGATATTTTCAATTTAAATTTTATAAAGTTTTTACTTTTGGAAAATTGCATGAATGATGACAACATTGATTTTACATTTATACATTGAGTATGTAGTAACTTTCAAGTACAATTCGCTCTTTTAAGGGGCTGGGGTTAAAATTAAAAATGATTTAAAAATTCGCGTATCAATATTATTGTGTATTAATGTTGTTATTCATATTCTTATTGTTTTCTTTTAGTTCAAAAATATTATTGGAAGATTCTGAATGATTCATGAATGTTATTCAATATACCATATTTATTTGGACTATATAGTTTTGAAAAACACCACCACACAAACTAATGGCTCGTTTCGATGAAAAATATTTTTGAGTTAGATCAAAATTTTTAGTCATCAAATAGCAAAAACAAATATTTTTGATACAGATTATTGTGAAATCGTTAGTATAAAATATGTACGAATGAAAGTTTGAATCAAATCGTTTTCATTTCGTTTATATGAAGTACACGGAGAAAAAAGATTTACACTCACATTTTAGTATCTAATAATTTAATAAAATTGCTCATTATAAAATCGTAGTTTTGTTGTGTTCACTATACTACGTTACTGGAGCTCTGGTAAGTGATTTTTTTCTTGTAAAATTAGAAATTTACTGATCGTACTATTACAAATTTTCAAAGTTTTTCTCATAAACATAAAACACAATGCTTAAAAGTTATCAACATGTATCAAGGTAATAAAATACTAGAAGATGCTATCAAAACATTACCAGAACAGGTACATTGTAATAATGTATATTTTGTAATAAACAATTTATTGGCATTTCTTTTATTTATCAGGGCAGGCCCATTGTCCTATTTAATGAACATGATATTGATGGCGATCAATTGTTTAACCTCGCAGAAATTAATCTGATATGTGAAAAACTACAAACATATCCAAATATAGAACACATTAAGACGAAATTGATAGAATTGCTTCCAACAAGTAATTATAGAATCTCGTTTTAAAAATTTATAATATATTATCACGTCATTTTATTATTCCAGATAGCAATAAACTCAGTTACGATGTAGCGTTGGGCGTTTTTGCAGCAGATTTTATGTAAACAATATTGATAAATATTTAATAACTTAGGGGTAATACAAAATGAACAGGCTTACCTTTGTACATATTAATTACTATAAGCGACTGTCAGTAAGTGTCCAGCGATTTTTAATATTTATTGGTTATGCATTTATACCTATCCTTTTTTGTTTTTTTATTCTTTTATTTTCAGATGATAGTTTGTTTAATATTCAAAAATGTATTACACAAAATATTTTTAATTTTTATAACTAATTTTATTATTATTTTTTTTTTTTTTTGCACACACTGTANACGATGTAGCGTTGGGCGTTTTTGCAGCAGATTTTATGTAAACAATATTGATAAATATTTAATAACTTAGGGGTAATACAAAATGAACAGGCTTACCTTTGTACATATTAATTACTATAAGCGACTGTCAGTAAGTGTCCAGCGATTTTTAATATTTATTGGTTATGCATTTATACCTATCCTTTTTTGTTTTTTTATTCTTTTATTTTCAGATGATAGTTTGTTTAATATTCAAAAATGTATTACACAAAATATTTTTAATTTTTATAACTAATTTTATTTTTTTTTTTTTTTTTTTTTGCACACACTGTAATATACCACACTTTTTGAATTCATATATTGAGTTTAATTTTTTTATAAATTTTACAAGACAAGAAAATTGGTACATGTAGAGTTTTAATGATTGTGGCTTAAATATGTAAGCTGCTTATAATCTTCCAGAACTGCTGTATCAAGCGTTTCTAATAAATAAAGCCAAATCGAAAAATCATCATATTTTACGATCATGGTAGCAAGCTGCTAACTTATTAGGAACCAACGACCTCTACCAATAGTAGTATATTAGCGATGAAATGAAAGAAATTTTCTATTTTGAACTTAGAGTACATTGTATTAGATTAAATTTAATATTTAATACATTGATTGAAAAAAAATTTGTTTAGGAAAATTGTAAGAAATTAAAAGAAAAAACAATGATACCATTAATTGTTTTGTTCAAACTTCCCATGTACTTTTAACAATGACTGTTATTTTAAAAGTATATCTTCAGTAATAAAATTTTTAAATGCGCTAAATTTTGTCATATTTTACGCAATATGCAAAAAGTAACAACATTATAAAGTTTTAACTATTCAATAGAATTACAAATACGTGGCATGATGTATGTAGTTATGTAATAACTGGGTATAAATTATTTTTCTATTTTATAAAAAGGAATCAAAATAACGGCTTAATGATTTTTGCTAAACAGAATTTACCAGTTAAACTTTTTGAGTATAACATATTGGAAAGATTAACTTTGTTAATCTTTCTTTAAAAAATAACTATAAGTGAATCACCTTGCTCTATGCTTATAGATCTCCATTGTTTAATTACTAAAGTTTAATTTATTTATTAAAAAAAGTAATTGAAGGGAAACAATTAAACACTGGTTTATTTTTAATTGGAAACATGAATATAAACATAATTCATTCTCAAACGAATAACAATAATTATTTAAATCTCTTATCTATTAATTGGTTCCTATCCTTTATAGTTTTAATAGATTACCTGATGTTCAGAAACTCTTTTCTTTGGATCATGTATTCATTAAAAGTAACAATGATCATAATGTATTATAGATAAATGCTAGCGTTTTGCAAACTGATATAAGTGACTACTACTTAATTGTAGTATCGATAAAAAAAGAAAACATTAATAACAGTAATAACATAATTAATGTTTTAAATCGTGATAAAATTAGAACTATATTAAATAAAGAAAAATGTATGTAAAGTATAGAGTGATGCTCTTTTAACGCTAGCCACTCAATTAATATTAACATAAAAAGTTTTTTGTGATTTTTTTATTTTTGGCTTTTGTTAATTACGTATGTATCTACATTTATCTATTATAAAATAATTTCAGATTATCTCTTATACTTTATAAGGGTAATAACTTAAATTATTTAAATGACCACATACATATTTAACAAGCTTATAAAACAGAAAATAATCTAATTAAGAAAATGACTAATTAAGAACAACTTTTGGATCAATACTTCAAAAGTTATAACGATAAAGTGTAGACTTATGGAAAAACGTGGGTATAATTACCTTTTATCATAAAAAATTACTCGGCCGCTCATCCCGTCTAGGGCAATATTGTGAATATCTTCTGAAGCACTGGAGGAATGTTGTTATCGACCAATCATTTTCTTAATTAGATCATTTTATATTTTATAAGCTGGTTAAATATGTAGGACTAGGCTTCACCTAGTTAGCGCTCCGCTCCAGACTTGGTAATCTGCAAGCTGTCCTTACAGGTATGTCACTGATCCTGGTAGGTTTACCCGGCTATACCGTACACGATATGTGTTCTGCAAAAATTACTCCAAAAGCTGTTCACCAGAAAAATAGTCCCACTTGTAAATTAAACAATAATTTAAAAAATAAAAATATGGTTACAAAATATTTATGTGTATTCAAAATATACTTCATAAAAACCTGTTAATTATATTATTCAGTTTTAAATTTAACAAAATTGACATGCAAACCAAAATCATATCTAACATGTAGACATCTTTGCGAATAATTTTCTCAGAATAACGTTGTAAAGCTGTTTCATTTAACAAAAAAAAAATTTTTAATTCGGACCACGTTAAGTACTTTTTCCAGTATTTGCACAATGTTTTAATGTATAATAAGAAGATAGGCATAAAATTTTAAATTCTCATAGCTGATAGAATTTTGGTCTAATAGCGATCAAAAACCAACAAATATCAACGAAATTCAGGGTACCTTTGGAATATTTCTAGTTAGTTTTGATAAAAATTTCAAGTTTTAAATCGAAAAATACTGGCGGCCATGATCGTTTTTTGATAAAATTTATAAACGGTCAGAACACGATAAAAAAAATGTCTGACATTCGTGAATAATTTACTCAATTGAGTTCTTCAAATTAAAAAAAAAAATTGAAAATCTGAAATTGTTAAATAATTTTTTCAAGATAAGCTAATTTTTCAACGTTTAATTTAATAAGAAGATGCTACTTAAATAAATATATAAAGATATAAATAGATAAAATTGATAAAAATATAAAAAGGAGAATCTTTAAAAGGAATCTTAAAAAGTAGAAAAAAAAAACAGTGAAAATAATATCAAAATTTAACGACTTAAAAAACGTAATTTTTGGGGGGAATTCCACCATTTACGGGTAATTAGGGAAAAAATTTTAATTTTTAATAGTATTTTCTTTACTAGATACTATTTGTAATCTTTTGACGTATTGTTGAGAAAAATCGGTTCAGTGAGAGCTAAGAAGCTAAAAAATATTCACAAAAAACCTATTATTTTAAGATAGTAGCTTTAAAAGAATAATCTTGTCTATGATTTTAATTTAGTTAATGTACGTCACAAAATATTGTTAATGAATCTTCTATAAATAATTAAAAACATCATCTTACTTTTTTTTAGTTTTAAATTAACAAAATTTTTATTATACTTATTAGCTTTTGTTTAGGTTAATAGGATTATAGCAGTTATTTTTGATTATATATATATTTATTTATTTTATAAACTTTTATTATAATTTCCTTACAAAATAATGGCAATTAGTATAAATTAGTAGTATTTAGTATTAAGGGTTTAATATATTAATAGTAATTATTAATTCAGGACGTGAAAATTGGTAATTAAGGGCAATAAAATGGCAACTATAGTGTGTAGGGTGTGTTAAGTAGGGGGGTACTGAATTAGGGATGTTGAAAATTAGCATTAATATGTATTAAGGGCGAGAAAATAGAATTTCAGGGGTGTGATGAGTTAAGAGCAAAAATAGCAATTAGGGTGTAATGAATTAAGGGGTGATGAATTAATAGTAAAATGTATTAAGGGGTGAAAATAATAGTATTAATTTATAGTTCCTGTAATCTATAATTTAAAAAAAATTTTAAATTATAATAACATAATTAATAAAAAAACGTTAGCACAGTATGCACGTGGCATAGTAGTCATAAGTATAGATGATTTCTGACAATGATTTAAATCACTATAATAAGAAACGCTTCGATTCAAATCTGTAAATAGTTTTTAATTTTAAGAAATTGGTCGATTATTCCAAATGCAAAATTATCTATTATTTTTTGTGCGACTGCCAATTGCAATAGAAAATAGGTCGTCGATAAAAAATTGTTTTTGAACTAGGAAATAAAATAACCTTAATTTTAATATAAATTTAAAGGCTAGATTTCCTGGAACATTTTTCAGGTTTTGAGGGTAATGTCTTCGACTAGATACGATTTGTGATCTTTTGATGTATCATTGAAAAAAATCGGTCCAGTAAGAACTGAGAAAAAGAAATGACAGACACAAAAAAATAAACTCATTATGATAAAATTAATACGTTCTCAGCTTCACATCAAAGTTAAAATAAAAATAACTGTTATGAAGTGTACTATTACTTTCTGCTTGACGCCGTCGTCTTGAGCCTTATAATGTCTTAACTCGGATTAGAATATTATATATATACTTATTTTTGATAGTATTAAAAGTAATTATTTGTATTCAAAAAACTATATTAATTATAAAACACTTAATCTTATAAAAATCTTAATATTTCATTTGTATATATTTTTATCAGATATTTTTTTTACATTGATATTTATAATTTTATAATCCAAATAAGGATAAATTTAGGCTGATTGTTGATCTATTTAATAATTTGTTGAAATTAATTGAATATAATTATAAAATATTAAATTTAATTCAAATTATTAGTAAAATATTTGTTTTCAATGTATTTTCTAAAAAACTTTCTGCTATATAAATAATATAATAGTAAATAAAACAAAATAATTATAGTGTGTTTTTATTAAAAAAAAAAATCTACAACAAAACACGAATGATTTAAAAAAAATAAAAGTTTTGTTAATATTTAACAACTTGGGTATTACACAAAGTAAGTACAATACAATATTTAAACAAAATTTAATAAATGACAAATACTTGATTATAATAAACAATAATAGGATAAAATTCTATGATGGACTCAAAAACAAAATTAGTTAATAATCATGAAACGAACAAATTTTTTGTTTGAACATCGACATGAATCCATTAAGAACACAAAATAATACTTAATAATGTATAAAATTAAAGACACAAATTACACACAAACGACAACTTAAATCCAAATATGGCAAGTAAAGAGGTTTTCTAAGTTTCATATAACATTGCTAATTGTGTCTAATATCTTTAAATTTTCTTTATAATTTAATATTTGTACAGAAACATATTGTTTTGATAAGCTACATAAACGAAGTGAAAAGTTTGAACATCGTTCTTGTGTTAAAGATGCACTTTTTGTACTCGAGATCACATGCCCTTGTGTTCTTCTTTCTACGTCCCAATTCCATAGCTTTTCGAAAAATGTTTTTGGCTGAGTTTTCGTCATAGTGTTCATTAGGACTGAAACAATAATGTATGATTTTAATTCTTATGCGACTATTTTAACAAACATTTATTCTTTAAGTACAGGAAGTGACCATGATTATTGTATATATATAACCAAATATTATTCCAACTTTCTCATAATTTAACCATAAGGACACTTACTGTTTAGTAATCCGTATTATTGTAAAAATATTAAAACAAATTAGTAAATAACCTACCGAATCTAAAATCGGAATAGTTACGAATAATAAAAATATAGAACAAAAAAAGCAACGGAAAATATTTGTACCTAACAATTCTCCAGGATCAATTCTATCACCATAATTACCGACTAGTATTTAAATAAATAATATAAAAATATTCACCACCCTCAAATTAAAAAAAATAGAATGTCCAATGATTTTTTGATACACCAATGAATTAAAGACCAACACGAATTATTGACTGAATAAGTATTATATTAAACTGTAAAACGTATAAAAAAACTTGTTAGTGAGTATTTATGATATTATAGACAACTATATAATAATGCGTGGGCTAGTCGTTCAACTGCAAGAAAAGTATATTTACTTTTCATGATTTATTTTGCGTTTTCACTTATTCCATTTTAACTTATAAGCAAGTTGCTACTTCATAAGCCATTATCTAACTCATATATGACAACTATTCATATAACAAAATAATAATTAATTGAAACAATTTTAATCTGTGATGATTTATCTATTTATCATTTTAGAAAATATTTACGTCATAAAGTAAACTTTAAAAAAATATATCAGAAATTTTACTTATTGTAATGGACGTTTTAACGTATACAATGTAAAGGAAAATTTGGATAAATAGTGAAGAAGATGTTATTTATGTAAACAAATTTTCTATAATTGTCAAAATGTCGAAATTACACTAATGTGTCTATTTAACATGCATATGAAAAATATCATATTAACGTACGGAAATTTTCGTTTCATTTTTTAGCATGTATAACTTCATTAGGATATCGCCAAAAATTAATTAGGCCATTTAAAAACCTAATAAATATTTTAACAAATTATCAACTTAAAATTATACCATATAGAAATGCAACTTCGAAAAATAAAATTTATGACATTAATAAAAGTTATAAAACTTATAATAAAATATTATTTTTTCATTTAATTAATTAGCTGTTATTGGTTTATAATTTGTAAAATTGTCTAAATCAGATGTATATCTGAAAAAAAAATATTAAAGACTGTAAAAAAATTATTTCCCTATAAATTTAATTATAATTTATTAATTTTTTGGTCTAGAGATTATTCTTCAAAAAAATTATAACAACTTTTTTTTTTACTATAATTATCAATGTTCTATAAAATAGAAAATAAATTATTATACATAATAATTATAAATAATTCAATGCATTTAAATAAAAATAGAAAAAAATAACAATAATACTACATTTCTTTTTCTTTATTATATAACCTATCTGTACATTTGTTCGAACAATACAATACAAGGACTTGTATTATTATATACAATATTATATTTATATACAATTATTCACTGGTTATGTAAAGTTTTATTGGACATGTTCCAATATTCAAAAAATTTAATGGATCTCAATGAATTTATTATGCTATTTTAATGATTTGTCGAATTAAAAATTAAACTTCAATTAAAATTTTTGTACAGTATGTTTGAAATAAAAAATAATTTTAATTTTAATCTGCAAGCTATTATTAAATTTAAAAATCACGTAACTAATTAATTACTTTCTACGGCTTCTGACAAGTTCGATAATTAATATAGAACTTACACATAACAGTCGTAAGGTCGGTTAGGTAATGCCGAATTTGTTGACAATTATTATGTTATCGTCGTTTAAAATTCATTTTTCATATCCAAATTTTATATGAAGTGATAAATATCAGTATAAAAGCAAACGAAAACAGTTACTTCAGAAAGTATTTTTATAACTTATAATTAATTGTATTATTGTAGTTATAAGCATTCAGTACAAAATTACTCAGATGAATTAAATGCATACACAGCAGTTTAAATGTGTAAGGAGTTTATATAATTTTAATTCAATCGTTACAAACTGTTGCTCATTATATACAGACACGTAGTAATCTATACATCTATTTTGTATGATTATTAACTAGAAAATGATTACTTTTCAAAATATTTGTTAGTCTAGTATAATGGAAATAATACAATTAAGTTACTAATAAATGTAATTACATAATTGGCGGTAAATATCGCAAGAGAAATATTATACATAATATTGGAACGTCAGAATATTTTATTTGAAAGAAAAGTACCAATAGTTATAAAAGATATTCATAAAACTTCTAATTTAACCTTTAAATGTACTTAAATAGATATTTTATAGGTTTTAAAACACCCATAAGAGCTGAGAATATTTTGAAGATGTATTAAGTAAAATAACCTAAGTTCTTAAGATTTAGGAAGCACATTTATTGGCAGCACTTAATGCTATTAAACTACTATCTATTATTAAAACATTTTTAAGTTACTTCCTTTACAGTTTAATCGTATGTAAATTCACAATTTCTATTTTAAATAAATGCACACATCGAAGTGAAACCTCATATAACGATTTATACAGCCATTCATACATATAGTTTTATTATATGTAGCAATAAACAGAAGCACTTTGTTACGGCATTTATAACAGAATAAATAATTACCGGTTTTAGGAACTGCATTTTTTTACGGCTACTTGATGTATTACATCAATAATAAAATCGATCCCACATATATTATTTTTCAAAATGATCATTTCATTGTAAACATTTATATGAAAGTTTTTAATTATTTAAATTTGTAAAAAAAGAGCATAGATAGATAAAATTGTTGAAGCAAATGATTATTATTAAGTCGAGGAAGTAATCGTTGAGATTTGTTATAGAGTAGACATTTTTATATGTATTGAAAGTTATTTATCATATAAATCTTGTCGGATGTATTATCACAATTTCGTTAAATAATCCCAGGGGGGGGAAACGTATTCATATCATTCTGATCACATTAATCGAAAAATCATTAGATAAATTACAATACATTATCATTACATTGCTCTATAGTAAAATTATTTTGTTTTATATACTTGAAATTAGTATTTGAGGTTTTTTTAATTTTATTAATTTATAAAAATTAATTATCGCCTTGATTTATAATATCAGTATGTTATTCGATGATGATAAAAATCTACTTTGTTTTTTTATCAATTTCCATGATTAAAAATTAGATCAAATCACTTTTAAATTGAAAGATAATTATATAATCGTACATTTTTATTAGTTTTAACATTGAACGACTTTAGTCAAACTTAAAAAAGATTTAAAGACGAATATTTGAAGAATATCATTTGAAAAATTAGGATTTGTTGTAAAATATATGTCTCAAACAGCTGATTAATTTAAAAATTATTCAATAAATAATACATAATTATTAAAATAAACCATAAAGTTTCACAATGGATTAAAGAGTAACCATTAGTTTCGTCTAAAATTTATTTTCAGGTTATTAAATAAAAAAGTTCATAATGGTAAAACTAATAAAATTGGATAAAAAATCTCAACGATAACACAAGAGTAATAATTACAACCATTTTTACATTTGTTAGGAAAAACGATTTTATGAATAAAGGTTTATTATTTATTTATTTATTTAGTTAACGGGATGTATCCCTTTTTTTACAAGCATGCTATGTTTACATATTTAATTTTAACTAAATTAAGAGAAAGACACAAAAACAAACAAAAAATACATAAAAAAAAAAAAAATAACAAAATCAAAAATGTTTACAACTAATAAATCGACATATGAATTATCAAATTTTCCAAAAAGTCAGGGTCCAAAATAGTGATTGCTTTTACGGGGGTTATAACAAAATAATTTACTTAAGTGAATAAAGTTATAGATATAAGAGACAAAAAAAAATGAAAACTATACAGAGGAACTATTTGGTTTAACATATAATACGTTTACGAGTTATGTTCAGAAAATAACGGGAATTTTTAAATTTCACGTGTTCGGAAAGTCTGATTATCAATTTTTTTCATAATGTAGGTACACAGGTCCCTGAAATATTATAAAATGTTCAACTGCATTCATTTTTTACTTTGTCAGTGGTTGCCACTGACAAAGTAAAAAGCTAAGGTTAGACGTGTTTTTATGACCTCGGCGATTTTTGTTTGTTAAAAAAAAAATGAATCAAAGGATTTGTATTAAATGTTGTTAAAAATAAAATTAAGTAAAATAAGACTAAGAGTTTCATGAGTAAAACAAGGGTTTTCGAGTGGTATAAGCGTTTCCAAGGTGAGACTGTGATGTCGTTGTAGATGACGAACGCATCAAAAACCGATGGAAACGTGGAAAAATTGTAAGAAATGGTTATATACGATCGCTGAATCACAATCAGAGAAGTCGCTGATGATTTTGGAATATCGATTGGCCATGAAATTTTTTCGAATGTTTTGGGTATGAAACGCGTGGCAGAATTTTGAACAAAAACAGCGGCGAACTGCTCAGGAGTCACTTAATGATGTCAACGATGATGCAGAATTATTGAAACATGTTAAAAAATGTGACGAAACATGGATGATACGACGTTAAAACTAATGCTTAAACGTCCCAGTGGAGGTATTCTGGATCTCCAAGACCGAAAAAGGCTCGACAAGTGCGATCGAACTTGAGGGCTATGCTCTCTGTGTTCTTCGATTTTTATGGCATAGTGCATCACGAATTCTTGCCATGAGATCAAACAGTCAATAAGGAATACTACCTATAAGTTCAACGCCGTTTGCGTGGAGCAATCCGAAAAAAACGACCGGATTTGTGGCAAAACAATTCATAACTTTTGCACCACAATAATGCACCTGATCACACTTCATTGCTTGTTCGTTAAATGTTGACCAAAAACAATACTGTAACGATGCCCCAGCTTATTAATTAATAATTTTTAAGTAATACTTTTAGAATATTTAAGAGATTTTAAATATTTTCCTTTGCATATTAATACTTAAAGTTTCGAAAAAATACATCTAAGTATGCTATATATGAATTTCTAACTAAAATTAACGTGCGCGCACCTGTGTTAGTACTAATGAGTAACAAAGTGTACCGTAAAAAACTATTGTGCTAGTTAGGATATGTGAATGATTTAGAGAGATATTAAACCTGTTATCTTTCCCACTCATGCTATTTATACCTAACTAACATTTATCAGAAACAAAAAAATATTTTAAAAATGTATGTATTTATAATAAGCATCTTATTTTGCTTAGTCTTAGAATTACAACTGATAAAATATTTAAAATACGGAAACAATTAATATTATATTGTTACAAACATGAGAAACTAAATGATGTTGTTGCTTTCAAACGTATTAGACTAAACTATTGTATGACTCCGGAACACGAAATATGTTAAATAATTGCAAAAAGGAAATTACCCGCTATCAATGCTTAAAACTTTTTGTTTATCTCAGAGTTTTTTAATTTTTTTAACTAATTAACAACAATGAAAATAGTATTAAATCTTTATTTAGATTAGCAAAATGTAAATTAGCGCGGTGAAACCCACTTCATTATTACTTTATATTGACGTGTGAATAAAAAAATAGTTTCTCATAAATTCTTGATCATACCTGTAGACAGGTACCCATTTTAAATTATAAACAATAACTACTTAATAATTAAAAAAATGAACTATAATATTTAATTTTATTAAATAATAAATATGAACGTACTAAATTTAATTATTATCTTTGAAATTGCCATATTTAATTTAATTTTTAAATATTTAAACTAAAAAAAATATTTACATAATAATGGACTAATATTATTTATAAAATTATAAAAAAAAATTATAAATTGAACAAAAATTACTGTTTATTGATTTACGGCTTATAAGACCCGTATGAAGTTTTAAGTACTAGACTTAAAAATATTCATTTTCAAATAAAAAAATTTATAAAAACGCAATCCGAGCCTCTATTCTAGTGACTTCTCTTTTGTAAAAGTTCTGATAAGATTTAATATATTATTTTATGATAACTTTAAATACGTATACAAAGAACATAACAGGGTACTTGAAGACTCATTTAATGGAGGAATATACTTTAATCTAATAAACATTGTTACATTTTTACCGTTTAAGCTTCTACCAGGCTAAAGAAATATAGAAAAAAAAAAATTCTAGCGTTCCCAGAACACGGAAATTGCAAAGAATTACAGACCATTTCCTTATTTACTCTTGTATACCCAAAAAACGATAAAAAATAAAAGAAGTAGATAATATCTACATCATTTATAACTGTAGAAAGGCATTTTTACAATTTGTTTTTTTTAAATGCTTGTATAAATAAATTTGTTACACAATAGAAATACTTTATATTTCTACTAAGCTATTTAAGTACTATTCGAATTATACATTAAACTTGTCGGATTTAACAATATTTTATTACTTAGGAAGATGTGAAACTCTCATTGACTAAATTGTCGTGTATGGCTAAATCGTGACCGAAGAACAATATGGAATTTCTGTAAATTCCAGAAAACCGCTCCGAGGTTCAATTATTAGTATTCTTCTTTTTTGAGGTATAATAATTTTTTATATTATGTGACATGATCACCTGACCCTGGTCTATACCAGTGTATGAACATAATAGGCTACGCGTTACATTATTATAGTGATGATAACAAATAACACTATTTACATGGTATTCCGCATCTTATAACGGGTTACATAACGTGTAAACTGCAATTTACCGGACTCAGGTATGTTGCTCGTTGCGTTTTTTAAGGAGTTTTAGAAAGCAGTCACACATCCTACCTAGCAGATAAATTTAATATCACGTCCGGCGGACACGCTTGATATTTACTAGTTCACTTAATTATTTATACAAAAATTTTTTTTTTTGGTCAAAGTCAAAAATAATAGTGTTTTCCAATCTGATAACGACAATCTCCTTAAAATGTAAATTTGTCAACACAAAACTAGTAACATACAAAAATTTAGAATAAATGAAATATATAATTCTGTAATTTCAGCAGTACTGATTATTACCACTGATAAATTACTAATATAACGAATGTAAAAATATTACTAAAAACTTTACCATTAAACAATTATAGCACGGAATACTTTATTTCCCCATCCATAATACGTTCTAAATAACAAAANGACGGACACGCTTGATTTTTACTAGTTCACTTAATTATTTATACAAAATTATTTTTTTTTTTGGTCAAAGTCAAAAATAATAGTGTTATCCAATCTGATAACGACAATCTCCTCAAAATATAAATTTGTCAACACATAACTAGTAACATGCTAAAATTTAGAATAAATGAAATATATAATTCTGTAATATCAACAGTACTGATTATTGCCACTGATAAATTACTAATATAACGAATGTAAAACTATTACTAAAAACTTTACCATTAAACAATTATAGCACGGAATACTTTATTTCCCCATCCATAATACGTTCTAAATAACAAAACTTATAAGCCAATCGGGTCTAGAATTAATATAGCTTAAATTACCAAAATACTATGAGAACATTATACAATCTTCATTGCCATCCTTGTAACCGTCTTTGACATGAACGCTATCATTTCATATAAAATCTCCCAGAGTGATACAAATATTGTCCGAAATGAGTTTTTATCTTACTCACCTGAGTAACTTGAGTATATTTAATTCGACTTGGTTAAGTTGGCTTTTAGGTGTGGCTGCAATTTCGCACACTATTTTTCGAGCACACATACTTCGATCTTGAAGAAGGATATCGTCAAATTTGAAAATCTTGTGCAGCGAATCATCATCAACATAGCTTTCTACAGTCTAAAAAATAAAATAAAATTCATTTAATAAAAAAAAAACAACCGATTTTTTATATTTCTGTTAATGGTTACAGTATTTTTTATTTTATTAAAATGAAGGAACGAAATATTTTATATTTAGTCTTCAGATGGTAAACACTGAAACTTATATACTTTTATAAATTAATACGTCGAATTATTGTTTTTATAATTATTAATAAAGAATGGTCAATAAATACAAAATGTTCGTCATAATTATGTTCCGATGTATAAAAACATTATAATTATCTGATATAAAACAAACATAACACAGTTTCTATTACTAGGATCAAACTTTCTACGGCATACACTAATATGCATTATTGTTAATTTAGTGCATTCAAATAATTTTCTTAAAGTATTATTTTAATATTTTGCATAAAATTGTCTTTAATTTCTAATACCATCAACGGCAAATATCTTAATGCTTTGAACTTGCTGTACTATACACACGAGCCATAACTTATTACACAGCAATAATCACTAAAATCAACGGTATAATAAAACTATAATTGACACCCGGAACTGCTGGTAATAAATTAATAGACAACAAGTCTGGCAATGATATTATTATTATTTTAATTAAGCATACTACATTTTTTTTCGGTCATCATTCACCTGTGTTATGACGAATAATAAAAACTACTTCTCTCCATACGGTTACTATTTGAATCTGACCTATACTAGTCATTGTCTAATAAAACAGTTGTTATTACAGTCTCGTATGACTCAGAAGCCTCAAAAGTAACATAATATATCAACGGATTTGCGCTGTCCGTGTACGACTTTCGTTTATCATAATTCATAGTTAAGTATCTGTCCATCGCAAGAAGGAAAGCGATTTACAAACACGACCTTATAAAATATTATATATGAGATAAAAACAATCCCAAAAAGAATATTTAATCCTATTTTACACTATTAACCGAATTCAATATCCGCTATTTTAAAGATCGTCATGTAAAATTAGTTAAAATGTTTAACAATCAAACCAAAAAAATCATTTAGTACTATAAGATTACCTCATGGAGTATTTAAACATCAAACACTGTTTAACCGTGTAATGCGAAAATAAATCATTTGTGTTCATGGGATGTGTTACAAATTAATATCTTGTTAACTACGTACCAATTAAATTAGGCGTATGATATAATTTATATTATTAACACAAAATATAAAGCTTATTAATATGTAATTGTAGGTTACTCGAATTGTGTAGCGCTGTACAAAGTACATAGAAAATTTTCGAAGAATATAACATAGCTGCCTCTCGAAATGTTTGTTATTAAATTACACATTAAGTGTAATTTTATTGTTTGAAAATCAAGTAGGTAGGTTTTTTGGAAGTAATAAAATAATACTTACACCGTCAACCATTGCCAACGGCTAAGCATATGGTTTCTGACAACAATCATACAGGTTAAATTATGAACTTGAGTGACAAAAATAGAAACTCTCTATTATGCAAATCAATAATATAACTCTTGATGTATCATATTAATACATCAATCCTAAACAAAATTATGCATTTTATTTTAACATCAAATACGTTGGGTTTTTAATGGATTTTATAAACCTACATTAAAATCAATTCCATGTTTTAATCTACCGTTATGTTACACGAAAGTTTACTTCACTTGATCGATGTTTTCTGACAATGAATAAAAAATAGTGAATGATGCAAATGAACACTCCTATTTCATAAGATATAAGATTATTTTATTATATTTTAATAAAGATTCTCTAAAAAAGTTATGTAAATAAAATGCCCTGGCTTTTGCATAAAATGATTTACACAAATAAGGTGATTACATTTATTTTAGAATAAATATTATGGAATTAAAATAATGAGAAAAGAAAAATAAATCAAAGGAAAACTTAGGACTTCAAAATAAATTATGTCAAATCATTTATGAAAATAAAATTTATCGTCAGTTGTCAAAAAATGCTTATGTAATTGATAAGGACAAACTCGTTTACTTAATTTTAAATACTTCGAAACGATATGTGCTATTTTTATATCAGGTCAAACTGTTCAAAATTGAAAAAGATGTACTTATTTAATATGTATTTTGTTGTTAGATAATTTGTTTATAAAATTATTTAACAAACTTATGTTCATTAAAATTCACATGCCCGTCGTACATGGTTTTGAACTATGACATAATAATTGAAATACAAATGTTTCCTGTGTATGAGAAGAATATCGTAACTTATTTTTTTTTTTATTAAATGAAAGAAAAAATTCTACAATAAAATTTTATAACTTAGCATATTATTATATTCTAAAGGATAAATTTTAAGTTAACTGACTATAAGTTGAGATTTAAATTTTAAACAGAATAAGAATCTAATTGATCTCACAGGATCAATTTGTAATGAAAAATTTAATGTAAAAAAGGCGATTTCATTAAAATTAGAAAGTGTCTAAAGTAATAATTTGTTAGTTTATTTAAGGTGAGGGATCAATGCATTGGTGTATTTATGAGGACTCGGGAAATCTGAACTTCTCACCCTTTACCTCATAATTCATGTTATGGTCTATTTTTTAAAGAATATGATACTTAAATGGATATCGAATATCAGTGGACATTTAAGGCAGCTAAAGAAAACACCAAATTTACCACAGTCTCCCTAAAAATGAAAAAAATTATAAATATTGATATTTTATAAGAATACGTACATTTTTTTTTTCATTCTTAGAGAGCCTAATTTTCTAATAGGGAGAAATTTTGAGTTTAAAGATCTCTAGTGCCTTTAAATATTCACCGATGTATTCGAATTATAAAAATAAGTCATTAATTTAAAATTTATTACAAAATAATAAAACAATTTTTTCGACCCTATCTTTATGAAAATGACCAAAAACGCCCCTGAATTTATGAACATTTATTGCAAATTCAAAATGCATTTTTATTTATGCTTTTCCTCGGTGACCTACTTTGCAATCAATATGTTAAACTACAATTCACATAATATTCAACTTATAATAATATGCCATACAAACTAGTTTTTCAAAAATCGAGTTTTGTATACATCACATGATTTTTTATACTCATCTGCAACGTTAACCATTTGTATTGACTCAACTGTAGTCGTAAAACTTTCAATACTTGATACAATACTGTATACTTTATTCGGTATAAATTATGAATCATGCGTACTTTTTATGTTCTAAGATAAGTAACAACATAAATAAATCATAAAATGCACTGGATACTTCATGTGCAATTAACTTACGATAACAAAAGTCATACAATAATGCATATTTAACATATATATATATAATAAAAGAAGAATCCTAAACAGAAGCGAATGATCCAATAAGATTTTTCCAAACAATAATTATTTTACAATTTTATGTACAGACATTAATCACAAGTGATTGTTGGAAATTCTAGTTATACTATACATTTCATTATCTTTAATTGTTTTCACGAAATTATTATCTTAAAAAAAGTTTATGAACTACCATTAAATTTTTTTTTAATTATTTAAGAAATCTTTAATTTAACGAACCTTTTAATTATTATTTCAATTTTTTTAAATTTGACTTATTATCTAGTTATTCTTACCTACGTTTTTTTATTTTATTGTACATTTCAACAATATTTATACAGTAACAATATATACCTAATATTTTCATTAATAATTAATGTCAATATTAGATAAATAATGAAAAAAACTAACTATTAATTTTTTTTAGTTACAATTTTCTAGCAATTGTTCTTGATAACACTCACCGTTTCAGGAATAGATCTCTTCCACAAACCTAGAAGTCTACCGGTACTTGCTATTGCATGGCCTGCAGCTGCTGCTCCCATAGGTCTATGGTTGCCATTAGATATTTTCTGGTAATCTTGAGCTAACTTGTGTAACATCCACATACCCATTAAGCCCATACCCGCCAAAAGAGCCAGTCTGATGAAAAGCATATGGGCCTTTACGGCGGCACCCATTACCAACACCATAAACCCGATTAAGGCTCCCCTCGTTAGCGACATTTTGTTAAAAATTTGAACAGTCACTGATTTTTTTTTTATATTCGTTTGAAACAAAAAAAATAATAGAAACTTCTGAAAAATTTTATGAGCTTGTTAAACTGAGCAAAATTATTATTATTATTACTATATTTTTTTTTAAGAAAATAAAAAATGAAAATAGAACACCTAAAACCAAAATGTGTGTCCTTTAGTGATAATCACTTGATTACTGTGTGGGTAAATACCGTTTGTCTAAATTGTTTAATATAAAAAAAATGTGTCTTTGAGATTTTGTTCTTAGTGTTCGTTGTTGACTCTTACTCGTGCAACCGTTGACTACAATTGAAAAACGTGGAATTTTGACAAGACAGATCTAAGACCGAATCAAGTTATTGCATAGTAGTGGGGTATGATAGCAAAAAACTTCCGGTTATTATCAATATTATGAAATAACTTTCGCCGTCGCTCGGGAAGTCGTACAGTATGAACATGTATTCTGTTTGAATAAAACTTATGAAACCGGTTTTAAGTTAATACTAACGTACATATTTGCAGTGTTAATTGTTTTTTTTTTTTTTGCCATGGTTGGCTTAGGATAACAGATGCATAATCTTTTTATAAAAATGTAAAATCAAAATTTCAAAAAATCAGGTTATCGATTTGTTTAATTACTGATTTAATTAATTAAAGAAATACGATTAATTACGTTTATTTACACTTTATTAGATAAAAGATTATTAGCTAATGTATACACAAATATCCACATTAAAAGGCTTAAAACTAAATATTTACAAAACAGATAATTTTCATTTAATAATAATCATAATAATAATCTATTTGACATCCTGTAAGAAAGAATGCAATTAAACAATTACTGTCATAAAAATAATGACGTAGTAACAAAACTAATAATCACATTACTATATTTGGAAAGATTAAAATAAACAATATATTTCAATTTAGGAGGTATATTATTATAAAAAAAATAGGTAGATCATTGCAAGTTATTGCAAATAGATTAAAAGGTTCATTGAAATTATAATTTTGACGATGACTATTAACATTAAATATATAATTATTACGTAAATTAAATGTAGTAACGTTGAACCTTAATTTACTCGGAAGTTTTAAACGATAAATTTTATTATAAATTAAATTAAAAACAAAACAAGCCACGTTTAATTTATATCTTACATCTAATGTGTCTAAATCTAATAATCTTCATAATTCATCATACTCATTAAGAAAATGTAATTTATAATAAATAGTTTGTTAACAATTATTATGAACGCGCTCTATATCCAATATCAAACTAAACTGAAAATGAAACTTTTGCAATATCTTTAATAAATAGAGAAAATAGAATAGACAATAAGTGACCCCATTGTAGTGCACCAATTATGACATTTATAATTTTTGAAACTTATTACTCAAATGAGATTGCAACCATGACAAGATAGTATCTCTAATTCCCATTAAATGTAATTTGTTTAAAAGTATATAGTGGTCTACCGAGTAAAAAGCTTTTTTAATTCAGTATAATGTAGTCATCTTATTCACCATTCTCAACTATAGAAACAATTTTTGAAAAACAGACAAGTAAATTTGTTGAAGTTGATCACTCTGTCGAAATCCATGTTGCGAATCGTAAAGACTATGTTTTATTTGATTTGTAAATTTATATTCATTTAACTTTTTCAAATAATTTAGCCAGATCGTTAATACTCATTAATCTATTGAAAACATTACCTATCAATTTATAAATATTACATGTATATCAGGTAATATTAATGCAATATACAATTACCTACCCGGTAGTCTACAACTTCATTTGAAGTACGACAATGTACTGAAATAAATATTTTTATTTGTACTCTTTTTTGAAGTATAAACTGTGTAGATTCTACTTTCATATAAATATTTTTTAATACAGTTTTTAGTGTATTTATCATAAGTTATTTCAAAGGTATTATAGTGTCTTCTTAATATTGAAAACGGTAAACATTGTTGAAAGAAATTTATTAACTTATTTTCATTCGTTGACGTAAAAAATAGTAAACAAACAGTTACTGAGAAATCTCCGATTCCCTAAATCTCTATTAGGTAATTTAGGACAGAAAACAAAAACATGGGACCAAGATTTGTGATACACTGAAGTAAAAGCTATCAGGTTAACTCGGGTAAATACGCGTATCACAGTTTTATGACTAAGAACTAAACACTCCATTATATAAATTAAGATACAACTTTATTATTATGCACATAAATTTTTTGACTAGTAATACACACAAATGGTTAAACTGGTCCTTTAAATCGATCGATGATTTATAATTGACAAAAATATACATTAATGAGGCAATTAGTCGATTTAATATTTTTCAATAATTACATAAGTAATTCAATGTATAATAATTTAATCCAAATATGAAATAAACTTTAAACAGTTGTTCATATATTTAGTAGTCTCAAGTGTAGTCTCAAAAAAAAAAAAAAAAAAGGAGAAAAACTCTTTTTAGAATTAAAAAGCCCAAATAGTTGACCTAATTTGATTATTATTTGTAAGTAATATTTATGAAGCTACCAAAGTTAATATATTTATGAAAATTTGATTAACTACAGTCACGTTATTATTCGTACCCATCTACTGTTTTATCTACAGAATGGTCTCTTTAGAGACACGCTATTAGTTTAAAAACAAAATTCTGCTTTTAGACTAATATAAATTAAATATAAAATAAATATGAATAAATTTAAAATCGAAATAAAATGTTGATATTTTTTAAATATACAATAACATGAATTTAAAAATAAAATAATATTGATGATTGCAGCAAAGCGCATGCATAAGAGAAAAAATAGACATTTTTTGTCGTTTCTAATAAATATAATTTAAATATTAAATTGTACTGTTTAAAAGTCACAACAACAAAATAAATGTTTCTATGTCGAAAACATGTTTACATTCACTGTATCATAATTCATAGCGCAGAATAAATAGTAATAAAATCGTTAATATTTTATTTATCTATCTTAATATTAATTTAAAAGTAAATACCGCTAATTTTAACACTCTGTCTCAAAATATGAATTTAAGTATATGCAATTATTAGATGACATGGTTTTACACATCATATCCTAATAAACAATGTGAACATAAAATTTTCAAAAATTAAGTTTTATAAATTTATTTTAATAATTAATTTATAGGAAACTAAACTGAGTTGAAATTCTTAATATATCATATAAAATCCGTGAGAGGTTAATTTAAGAATAGTTTTATGAAAGTTTTCATATCCAAAAATACTACTTATACGATAAGAAATTGAAATCCCTAAATTTCAGAATGGAGCATATGTTTCATTAACCCTCTTGACACAATCTTAAAATATATTACGAAGTTGTCCTAAAAATATTTAGTAGCGAATTCAGCCAACGTGATATCAGGAATGTTACCAGTGACCTATTGACATATCACGATTTTGGGTGGCAAAGGCGTATTTTGAATCCGTCAATGCTCCACTCGAAATGTGTTTTAAAGTTAAAAAATTAAATGCATTGAACCTTTTCGTATACACACGAATTTTCCAATAGTGTTGACGTTTATTATGTATAATTTATATGGGTACATATATGTATATCCATGTCACTAACCATTTTATTGTAAACAAAATAAGTCGATAACTTATCAAACACCGTTACCCATATAGAATTAATGATTTGAATTTATTTTAACCCCTTGATCCTGAAAATTGGTTCCAACTGAACCTTGCTAAGCAGATTTTGATAACCTACTTCTATAACTTTTTTAGAAAACCAAGTTAGTAGGTCTAATTTGATTTATACTTTATTCTCCTATCCATTACAACAAATAATAATAATAAAAGATTAAGCTGTACAATATTTCTAAAAGACTATAAAACAAAAACATTGGTAAAACTAGATTTCTTTAGTCAGATTTACATTGATGAAAAATACTGTTTAAGTCGATCTTAAAAAACAAAATATCATTAAAAAACTGAAACAGATTCAGAAAGAGTACAATTTTTGAAACTTTATTCCTTCAACTATGACATGGACTGAGAGCCTAACATTTTAAACTCGGTCCTAATTAGGAGAAAGTGAGATATGTTAACGCTTGAATTAAGATGATCTTATTTAATTTTAAAAAATATAACAATATTTACAAATTTTTTATGGAAATGTTTTCAAATATATTAACCAAACAATGTCATTTTTTCGAAAATAATATAAATAAACACATATGTTTGTTTTAAATTGTTTTAACATTTATTCACGAACGACATAAATATTGTGGTTGACGGCGTATAATTATATCTTGAGCGTAAATAAATAAAGACAATTTATTTTTTTTTGCAAAAGGTAAAACATCACGAATAAAAAGTATTTGAAATTTTAAGTTTTATTCAATTTAGGGAAGTACTAGGCGAAAATATTTAATAATAATATAATGGGAAAGTCAGCTTTTTTTGTACTTTCAATGAAATTTCTATTTATAAAAAATGTGCTTATAACTAGTTAAACTAACTCAGTTACTAAAAAAAAATAAACCTAATAATTATATTAAGGGCATACCTTAAAGGTGATGGAGTAATTTTCCCTTTTAATAATCTTACACTCCATTTTTTTAATTTTCCATTAGTTGATAAACCAATTCAAAATTGTATAACACATCTAACATTTCTTTGGAGAACAGGAGATGACTTTCTTTGTAATTTACGAAAACATGTATAATTCATCTCTTTATCATTAACTAGATTAAGCTAAGGTAAATCATTTCATCCCATTTAAAAATTTATCTTGCCCATCTTTTAGGGCAAGATGGCGAATTTGACTTTTTTCTGATAGATTAATAATTCTTAAAACAACAAATAATAATTAATCAGGTTTTAATCAATCTAATAGTATTTTTGCCAAGTTTTAAGTTTTCATAATGAATACTTTCTTTAAAAAATTTGATGCTACCTTAAGGATATCTACTTACCCTCCCATCACCAATTTGTTATCAAATAATAATTTTGATTTGTAGGTTAAAACCAAGAAAAACACGTTTGATTCGTTGAATTTGTCGTTTTCAAAATGCGAATTACTCTTAAATTTCACGTAAACGAGTACTGAAAAGGAAATTTATTTTTGCTCTTCAAGAAGATTAAATTAGTAAGACATAATATTTTAATTGACATTTTATGCGAATATAAAAACGGTATTTTTCAGAAACTGGTAAAAACTTACGTGATGTTAAATAATAAACGTATAATATAATTGTTTATTAACAAATAAAAACCGCAACGTTTGTAATAAATTTTACGTTTTCTCTTGTAAAACAAATTAAATCAACTACATTTCCAGTGTTTTAAATTTAAATACATAACAAATTTTATTGCTGGTTTAAATATGTATATAATTACTATAAAAATTATCTTTTATAGTTTTCGTAAAAAAATCAGCACACGCGGAAAAAGCAATGATTTAGAAGTCAATTGGATTCCAAACATCAAATTTATAATTAAACTCATTAATTTTATAAGTACAATAA